ATTATGTAATTAGGAATAAATATTTTATAATTTTATTTTAATAAAAATTTGATATATATATATATTGTGAAAATACTATACTTATTCTCTATTATATATATATATATATATATATATATTATAATAACTAAAAATTTCAATTACTATTTTAAGAAGAGTACACTTAATAATAATATTGAGAATATTGTTATCTAAAAATTTAAGACATTACACTTATTAATGAAATTAAGGTTATACGTGTGTTATAGGATTGATTTGGGAGTATTTGGCTGGTTGAAAGTGATTTATTGGTGTTAGGAAAGAATGGATTTGAAGGAGATTGGAGGTCTTGTTAATCAAACTTGATGGGTCTAGTTTTGGGTTTTGGCTCAGCAAAGGGATTTTGGTTGAGCCAAAATGATGAACTAGTGAGTGTTGGTTAAGCAAAAAATATTGGTTGAGTAATGGTTTTTTGTTGGCTAACGTGAATGAAATTTGCCAACTCAAGGTCCTTTAGAGTTTTGGAATGTTCATAGTATGGCATGGCCAAATTGTTTGGCTAAGTCAATTTTAGCCACTGTGTTTTTTTTTTGAGAAGTTTACTTGACCATTAATTTTGGTTAAGTGAACTTAAGTCTCCATAAGAAATTTGTAAGATGGTGATTTTAATTTGGCTAAGCAAGCCAATTTCTGACTTTTGGCTTAGCGAGAGAAGTTGGCTCAGCCAATGTGTGACATTAAGTGGTGTTTGGCTTAGTGAGAGAAGTTGGCTCAACCAATGTGTGATAATCGTCTAAGCAAGGGAAGTTTGACCCAACCAAATTTCCTGATATGATTTATGGGTATTTCCCTATCAAGGTGGTGTCTAACCTTGGGAATTGGTTGGGTTACTTAGCTATGATTAATTATGAATTAGAGAAAAGTATGAGAGTTTAAAGTGTTATGTGATTGGGATATTATATAAGGAGAAATTGTGTTTTGAGTCAAATGCATGTTATGAGTTATGAGTATGATGTGAACTAAGTCTAAGTAGTTGTTTAGCAAGGAGAAATCTAAGATTGTGCTTGGTCATTAGTGAAGTCTAAACAATGGTCCAGCCGAGTGAAAGTCTAGGCTCGTCCAACAATGTGAAAAGCATAAAATATGTGTGATGTGCATTGTGTTGTGTGTTGTGATAGAGTTCATGCATTCATGCATAGTTTATTTTGAGGTGAATGTAAGTCTATGTGGGAGGTTCTCTATGTCTTTCTACCTTGGTCCTAGGGGTGCTATGGTGGGAATCCCCTTGATGAGGGGCAACCATGAACATCTCTAGTACTTGAGTTGACGATCTTAATAGATTTCGTTCTAGTGAGAATGAACCATGTGTTGATTGCCCATAGTGTGGACATCATTTTCTTATTAATGTGCTCCTAGTCTACATCATATATGTGCGCTTTATGTGAGGTGAAATGGTGTAACATGCATATAGAGATAAAAGCATACAAGTCCATGGGTCTTATATTTTGAACTAAGAATGAGAATTGCAGTTGATTTATGATATGTATTGAGTTCTTTAATTAGATATCGTCTGTCTTTTTTATATGTGCACTCTACATGCATAAGATATATTCTCACATCTTTGTGTTATGTTTTATTTCTTTGGTTAGGTTGAACTCCACTTTCAAGTGTTATCATGTTTAGGAGAGCAAGCCTACAGATGATGAATAACATAGGCTTTTATCATTCTTATTTTGATAGGATTGATATGCAAGTGTGACATCAACATCTAGAGTAATAACTTATTATATGTGCTTAGTTTGTTCTGCTTATTACTTGTTGAACTTAATTTTAGTTTATAGTGACAACCTTGTTTTGGAATTTGTAAAGACTATTTTGATGCCTAATATCTTTTTTACTTTGAAACTTATTTTGATATTTAATTATGGAGTTTTATATGGGAAACATTTAATATGTATTCTTGTATTCATGATAACAATCTTTATTAATTATAAATTGTCTTATTTCATTATGAAATTGTATAAATATTTTGGAGTAAAAAGATGTCATAAATCTCGAGATAAAATGTATAATTATTTTAAATTATTAAATATTTAGAATTAATTCAAATTATTAAATATTTTAAAATTAGTTGATTTTTATTTTCATAAAGTATATATTAAAATTTAAATTCATATAATTTTTTCAAATTGAATTTTCCTATTCAAATATGAATTTATAATTAAATAAATTTAAATTAATTTATTTAATAAATGAAAAAAATTCATATTTCAAGAATTTCAACTTCTCTAAAATTTTAAATTTTTTTTATCCAAATACAACCTTTAACTTTTATTTATTTTTTATTCATATAAAAGATTGTAAAAAAAATAATGAAGATGGAACCCTAGGTCCTCACCCTTCTATCCCAACCATTTCTCCAAATCATTAAACTAACTCTATTGGTTCCAACTCTTATCTAATTTAAATTGTCTTATCTTTTACATTTGGGGTTTAGGGTTTCACATTTTATCTTTTATTTGATGACAAATGTAAAAATCTATTCTTTAATTAATTTAAATATATTTAATAATTAATAAATAAATTTATTAAATTTTATCAAAATCATTTAATATTAATTTACTTTACTTATATGATACCATTATTATTATTATTATTATTATTATTATTATTATTATTATTATTATTATATATATATATATATATATATATTATTAATAAAAATAAATTTCTATAATTATTTATTACCACTTACATTCATCAACCTTTATATTAAACGTCAAGGGCTATTTTAGGTGAGAAAGTTTTTAGAAATTATTCTTTAATATAAATGTTTTTAAGGATTTTTTTTTAACTTTTTAATTAATTTAATTTTTATTTATCATAATTATTAATACTTATATATATAAATTTTAAATATAATTTTTATATTTAAATAATATTTATTTATATGTATAATTTATTATAAAATTTAGTTATATATAATAAATATTTAACAAATAAAATACACAAATCAAAATACCAATATTAATGGATCTCATTTTTATTTTCAATTACTTTTATCATTTATTTATTTATTTAAAAACAAAATATATTGTGACAAGATTTGACCTTTTTGTGCGCTCATAATAAATAGTTGTGATCATAACTTCTCCTAAATTTCGCAGTTAATTTAAATTATCTTATCTCTCGTGTTTTGCGGATATTCTCATCTTTTCTTCTAGGTAGGCATGATAATTTAACCCATCCCGTGGGTACTTGCCCGAACCTGCACCAATTTGAAACGGGAAAAACCCGTGTTTATCGGGTTCGAGTTTGGGTTCGGATTTTTCCCGATTGATAAAATCGAGGGCGGGGACGAGGATGTTAATAACTGCCCCGCCCCGCTTAATAATATAATTAAAAAATTATTTTTATATATATATAAACCAAAATTAGAAATATTTATATGTAAAAATTTGTATTATTTTACTTTTCTTTTATTTTTTAAAAAAATTTGTTCATATTTAAAACCCGCCCCCCGCCGGAGACGGAGATAGGTACCTAGATTTTACTCCCATCAAGTACCGGGGGCGAGGACGGGGAACGTAAAACCCGCCCCCACCTCGCCCTGTTGCCATCCCTACTTCTAGGACAAACTATTCTTCCATTATTCAAATATATTCAACATTTTTTATGGAAAAATTTATTAAAATCATTTAATATATATAATATTTTACTTTTAATTATATGATATCAATAATATTTTATTGATTAAATTATATTTTTAATTTCTTTATTTTTATCAATTTACAATTTTGATTTTTCTATTTTAAAATAAAGATATTTTATCTTTTTAATTTTAAAAATGAAATTTGAGTCCTATAGTCAAATTGACATTTATTAATAGTTAAATTTTAATTTTTACTCATACTTAAATGATGTGACATTTAATAATTAGTAACATGATATTTAGAATAAAAAAACTAAAAATAAAATATATAAATAAAATTTATTAATAAAATAAATATAAATTAATCATTAAAATATATGTAAAACAAATATTTTTATATATTATTTTTTAATTTTGATCTTTATATATGTTATATCCTAAAATATTACATCACTTAGAGTAATGACAAGTTATCGAAAACTAATAAAATTTAATGATCAATAAATATTAAATTGATGATAGAATTAAATTTTTTGTACTTTTAAAAATAGAAGAAGTATTTTAAATAGAGTTAATCATCCATACACTGTCAGTGTAAAGTTTTTTATACGGACAACCAATCATATATTTTAAATTATTTTATTTTATTTTTATTTTATTAAATAAGTAAAAGACATGACACTATTAAAAAATATGATTAATTGTCCGTATAAAAGAACTTTACACGCGGTATATATGTGATTAACTCTTTTAAATAAATGGATCAAATTGCATATAAACAAAAATAAAAACACTAAAAGTGAAATTTAATCTATATTATTTTTAGATTTACAAATTTCATTTTGATGATATGATAGAGTAAAATAAAGTGGAAATTGGGAGATTTGGTTGTATTGGTTAGCAAGATGTTGAAGGGAAGTTCGTAATGCAGAGTGGATTGTAGTTTATAGTGTGGCTCTCACTCTGAAACTGAAAGGTCCACCCCAAACCAAACACACTTTATATTCGTGGCAGTTGCTACTTTCTTGCACACATCGACACCTTCACCACATGGCTAAGCTTCCTATTCCCACTCTCTTCTCTTTGAGGCACTTCTTCATCCTCTCCCTCGCCTTCAACGTCACCCTCATACTCAGATTAATGCTCTACCACCAAACACAACCCTTTGCAACAACAACAACAACAACTAATTTTGACACACCGATTCTCATATCATCATCATCATCATCAGACACCAATAGAGTCATCAACCTCGACCAGTAAGCACAGATTCTAACTTGCTCTATTACTATTTGTGTTGTTAAACAAAGCACACAAACTTTGGAGATTCTTGCTGCATGTTTCTAGACATTTGCTGGGAGGGGGAGATAACTTTGGCGGTTAGTTATTGAAATTTTTGTTTTGTTTGAGCCAATGGTGCCTCTGTTTCTTTTACCGTTCTTTGCTTCCTTTTCCTGCACTTGTTCCTTCACAAGACAGGGACTAGTCATCGTCTCTAACATCACCTCTTCCCAAAAATGTCAGGAATATATCAGTGAATACAGTTTCAAAATTTGTTTGATTCTATCGTTTGAATACACCGTGTCATCATGTGAAGACATACAATTGTTTTATTTCCATAACATGAAATTGAGTTTTATTAATTTACTTCGGATTACACGAGACCATAGATATATGATAGTTCTTTTATTGGTTTTATTGATGTTCTGCTTAGCTATTCTTAGTGAAGTCCCTTACCTCATCACCACGATTATATCATGAATTGAATGAGTTTATGGTTCCTTAACTTCTAAGTTACATTATGAAGTTGCTCATTTTGTTAAGATCAAGAGTATATTCTTTTAAGCATATTTTATTGCTATATGTTGGGGCCTGTCATTTTCTTAAGTGTGTTTCACATTCAATGTAACCAAAAATAAAAAGTCATGTTTATTTTTGTAGTCTCTGTTCCGAAGTTGAAGGGTCGAAATTTAGTTGGGAAAAGTAGTGTCTCATTTGTGGTAGAGCATGGTCGACGGTAGTAGCTTAGTAGGAGTCTAACTTTAGCTCCACTGCATCAGTCCCATTCCATTGACATTGCCATCCCAAAATCATTATGTACATTAACTTCGTCTTGGATTTGTTCTTTGTTCAGATAATTTTATTGAAATCTGAAAAAGAAACTTTTATAAAAAGCTCTACAAATTATTAGTTTCTTAAGACACTTGTATAATTGCAAACTAAAAGTCATTTTAAAGGAGGAGGAGACCGGTTTCAATTGAGCTTTAAAATATAACATTAGAACCTACATGTGTTTATAGCATGTGTTTTTAATCATTCAAAAGCAAAGAAAGATATTAAATATACATTCAATTTCTTTTTTTCATCTTATAAGAATAAAAAACTTAAAACATTTAAAAAGCAAGCTTAGTGTAAAAGAAAAAAAGAAAAACCTATAGAATAGAGAAGAAGTTGGTGGGCCACATGCCCTATGTGCACACTGCATGAAGAGCCTCTTTCGGCAGTGTCCATAGAACTATTATGGAAGTGATATGAGATTTTTAGAACTTTTGGCCGCCCCAATCGTGAGTCACTCAATTGCATAAGCTTTCAAAATGTCCTTTGTTTTTCATTTTTCGTTTTTTCGATTTCCAAAGGGCCCTGTGCAATCTGGATCTGCATATCAACTGCATTGTTGTGGGCCCCACGCAATTTGAAAATCCACCACCAACATATTTTGTCCCCTTCACTCATGCATGACTACCGTTGATTTTTCAACCTATCTAATCATTGTTTTGGCTAATACAGTTCCATGATTACCTTTCCCATGACTTTACACATGCAGATGCAGCCCTTTGTTAATTCAATGCCCTGTCTTCAACATGTTTCTTCATTGCTCCTTCTTTACCTAATTGGCGGAGATCTTACCCATTTATGAACTAAATAATTGTGCCTTAGTTTACTCAAAAAAAAATCGCCAATAGAGTTACATGATTTTGTGTTTTGTCTACTTGTCAGAAGGGTTAAATGTATCTGCCCATGTCCATCAACTTTTATTAAATCTTTAATGTTTCTGACCTTCTATTTTTTTTTTATAAATTTTATCTATACTTTTTTAGTATTGTTTATTTTTTTATTAAAAAAATCATTTATCTTTAATGTCCATTTAAGATAAAACATGGTTTTCAGGATTTATTTAAACATAATATATTTTATAGTCCATTTAAGATTTTAAAGCATAATATTTTTTTAAGAAAAAATAGAGCATGATTTTTATTATTTTCATTTATAGTATATATAGGTTCTTACAATCAACCATGCTTATTTCATTATTTTTACAAGAGATGGTCCACTTACTCTTTTTTTTTTTTTTTGAAATAAGGAGACTCACTTATTATAAGAATAAGTTTTTTTTATATTTATTCTATTTAATAATTTATGTTCTATATTAAATTTTATCTGTTAAATTAAATTTTTTTAATATATAAATTAAATTTGTAATTTTTTTAAAAAAATTAAAAATTATTTTATATTTTATTTCATTAATTTAAATAACGTATAAAATATTTTTATAATTATTTATTAATTTAAATTAATAAAATAAATTATCAAATAATTTTTTAATTTTTTTAAAATTTACAAAGTTAAGCTATACATAATTTTTTTTAATTTAATGATTAAATCATTAAAATTTAATATAAAATATAAATTATTGAATAAAATAAATTTAGATAGATTTAGACCATCTTTTTTTTTTTTTGGATTACAATCATAGTATTTATAATCACGTTATAAAGTATGAAGTATCAACTAACTTAGTTGACAACTAATCTTTACTTAAAAAAACTTGGTACTCTTTAGGAAAATTTTCTTCATCAATATGTTTTGCTATCCAAAATATTTGAACTTGAAATCTTCCTCGAAAAAATCGATTTCAATACCATCAGTTGAACTATTTGTTAGTAATGTGTTCATTACATAAATCTTAAAAGGTATTTGAACTAGAAAAAAGAGAAAACATTAAAGATTGTTGATTGCAAAAGCAGTACAGGACCCCTTGTTTCGAAATTCAGATCATGGTCTACTTGGGAAGGATAGCGGAGAGCAAGTAGAGATGATATATTTTATATTTTTGGTATTATGGAAGCCTTGAATTTTATAGTTGTTAATAAATGTTTGTTCATGGTTGGACATGACAATGCATGATTTGGATAATACGTTACATTAAATTAAAGATTGTAACATGGTAAATTGTCATATATTTTTGCAGTGGAGACCCGAGAGTATATGAGAGATTTTGGAGACAAACGGGTGACAAGAGCACGATCATAATCCCAGGGTGGCAGTCAATGAGTTATTTTTCTGATGTGAGCAACATTTGCTGGTTTTTGGAGGCAGAGTTTGCGAGGGAAGTGGTGAGGTTGCACAAAGTGGTTGGCAATGCAGTCACAGAAGGGCGTCACATTGTTGTTGGAACAGGTTCTTCTCAGCTCTTTCTGGCTGCTCTTTATGCGCTCTCCCCCAATGATGCACCTGAACCAATCAGTGTAGTATGTGCCTCACCCTACTACTCGGTCAGTAACCATTTTCATATATTATACTCCATTTTATATTTCATTTGTAAATGTAAAATTTTAGTCTCTTATAATAGAGTGAATCATGGTTCAAATTCTTATTAAAAGAGGTATCTACATTGAATGTCCAACAACGTCTCAAACAGGATTAAATGTCTTGAAAAGATGATAGATATGGGATACCATAAAAAAATATTTCCAAACCTATTTCATAAACAGCAGTGCTATATCGATTTTCCTTTCATAAAACGCTTTCTGTAGTAAAGGAATTTAACTCACTTGGTTGAGTGGGAAACTTATTTCATAAAATGTTATCTGTAGTTAAAGAGCTTAACTAAGTTAGTTGAGTGGGTAAGTGAGTTTTGTAAATAATTTGATACTAAATTTGATTCCAATAGATTAAAAAGAAAAAGTTGTTACAAGTTTAGTAAAAGTGTACTCTATCTTATTGATTTTTCTAATACTTTACAAAGTATAATAACAAAAAATATATTCAATTCTTTATTTAGGAGTGAATAAGAGGATTTGTAAGAAGATATTGTAGCAGATTTTAATATTGTTCTTTAGTAAAAATGCATATATATATATATATATATAATTTGTCCCTTGTTTTTCTTTCGTTTTTCAATTAACTGTTTAAGAAGTGGATGCTTAAAGAAAAGCAAGGTCATTCTGGATTCTGTTTCTGATACAGATTTGGTAATGTATAGCAATGCTTTTGTACTAATTACCATAGCACGTACAATTGTTATAAACGATACTTTGACCACTTTGAATTATATATTGACGGAATTCTTGCATGGCCCACAGGAACTTAATTGTGTCTTGACCACTTAATCGTGTCCCCTCTCCATTTCTAGGATTCTGTTGAAAGAGACACTTATGAATTGTAGCATTTAATGTATAGCTGCCATTTCTTATGAATTTGTATCTTGTAATTAATTTTCTGCCTCCAGATCCAGCTTATTTTTACTTTTTAATCCTTATCCGTGTTTATCAATAACCTCCACTCTCTTTCTTCCACTCGAAATTTTGCACACCTGCCACCTGATCACATGATGGTTGATACTTTTGCTGAACTGTGGCATGTGAGGAATTGTCAGTAAAGTAGCTTTGACGACCTGACAGGAAGGTCATTAGGTTGGGGAAAAAGGTGTCATCTGATTTCATTATCAATTTTGGCACAATTGACCATTAATCTTACTATTTGGGTGTGAGGAATTGTCAATGAAGTAGCTTATTAGACGATCTGACAGGAAGGTCATTAAGTTGGGGGAAAAAGGTGTCATATGATTTCATTATCAGTTTTGACACAATTGACCATTAATTTATAACAAGTTACACACATGATAATTTAATACTAAGATTTGGTTTACTCAGATGATAAAACTTAGGTACTTGTTGATACTGTTTTTTAATTAGATTTAGAGTTTCATCCTATAAATATGCTTAATAAAATATTTTGTTAAATATTAACGTATATTATTAAGATAAAATTTTATTCTGATCGAAAAATATCATCATACTTTACTTATACAGTCTTATAGTACTACTGTATTTAAGATTTGTTTACATGTTAGTTGCATTGTGGTAAATGGTAATGACTTTCTAATAATTAGACATTAAAGTTAAGGTGTAAACTAAAATCTTAATTTTATCAACAAAAAAAAACACCACTAAATATACCCCTTATAGTATAGTATATAGGTGTTGTTATGTGGACAAACATTTTAGTTACATCACATGTGCTGACTGTTTGATTAGGCCATAAAGGGTTCAATGAAAATTGCAGTAATCTGATTTTGGTTTGACTAGTAATTTATGTCTTGGCATAGAATTGATTTGTAAACAACCTGCAGTCCTACCCATCAATGACGGATCACCTGAAATCAGGCCTTTACAAGTGGGGTGGTGATGCAGAAAGTTTTGACAAAGAGGGTCCCTACATTGAGCTGGTTACTTCTCCCAATAACCCTGATGGACATGTAAGAAGATCTAAGGTCAACAGAAGCCAGGGATTTTTGGTCCATGACCTTGCCTATTACTGGCCACAGTACACTCCAATATCTGCTCCTGCAGACCATGATCTCACACTTTTCACTGTCTCAAAAAGCCCTGGTCATGCGGGAATGCGCATAGGGTACGTTCACTCATAACTTTATGTGCATGTTTAGTTATATGTCTAAAATGTGATTTAGAGTAATAGTTACGTTTAAAACGTAAAAGTTATAATTGATAGTTTTTTATTATAACGTGTTTTATCATGTTAAAAATTTTATTATAACGTGATTTATCATGTTAAAAATCAGAACTAAACATAAACTGTTATTTTTTATCCTACTCAATTATCACTCTTTAAGTTTAAGGCTTATTTAACACTTTTTATTGAAAAAGTATTTATTATAGTGAAAATATTATATATTTCTTTATAAAAATTTATCACTTATTTTCTTTGTTATATGTTATAAGAATATATATATAAGAGTTATAATAATACCGATTTTTTATTAAATATTATACTGTAATAATTTTATATTAAATATAAATTTTGTAAATTTAATCGTTAAATTTAATTTTTTTTATCCTTAAATTATATATACAAAATTTTATATTAATCCAAGATGATTTGATACTTCATTCTTATAAAACAAAATTGACGTAATATATACATTTTAAAATATACTAAAATATGAACACAGTTTAATTATTTTCAAGTTGTTCTTTAATTTTAACGAAATTTGGTATAAATATATAAAGTGATGTGAATTTTCAATATAACGGTTGGATTTACAAAATTCACATTTAATATAAAGTTATTAAGCAATGTAATACTTAGTAAAAATTACACAAGTATTATTATAATCCTTCTCACACACATATACACACACACACACACATATATATATATATATATATTGTTCTTAAATATAAGGAAATTTAACTATTTTTCATCATTTAATGATTTTTTTAAAAAAATATTATTTCTTTAATGCATGATATTTTAAATGTTTTTTTTTTACATTTATATAAAGATAATTTAGAAAAAAAATATTATAAAAATAATAAAATTTAATAAAATAATCAGCTTTTTAATATACGTAAAAGTAATTTATTTATTTTTACTTATAATAAAGAATAAATCTAGTCCATTTTACTAAAATCACAAACTTAACAACATAAGATAGGATATAGTCTCTTTTGGTTACATAAAAAAGTTTTGGAAGGTATGGAAATTAGCCATGCCAAGTTTAAGCATGCCCTCAATTTTGGTGAAAGTGATACTAGCTTATGTTTGCGGTAATCGAGGGCTGTTTGACAGAGGAATCAAACATTAACCTTAATATTCCAGTACTTACAGGTTGTGGTGATGAGCTATTTGCAGAATTTTTCATATTTGATCCCTAATATATGCGAAGACTTTTTGATTTAGCCACAGTTATACTAACAGAAATAGGATTAATCGTTAATCTAATAAACTAGGAGATATCTGTGACAAAAAAAAAAAATAATAAAACATTAACCATAATAAGCATAGAGGTATAAGCATACAATTAACAAGAGTGAATCATACATGAGTCTTAACTAAAATAATCTTGTTAGAAGAACAGATTTCACAATGTATTGAAGATAATATCTGAGAGTGACTCGTTCTTGGTATATTATCTTGTGAGTAGAATTTTCCAAACACTTCTTTTTTAGTCTTTTCATCAAGGTATATAATAGAAGCAACTAAACCAATATGATTCTTGTTTATTTATGATAATCTCTGGGGAAATGTTCTCAAATAGAGATAAAAGAAACAACAGATCAAGAAAATTATAAAGAGAGATACAGTGTATGAACGCCGTACCTTCTCTAGGTGAAATAATTAGTCCTACATGATAGAAAAGTGGCCTTTGGTTTCCTATCAAGTAACAAGTGTTTGATCTGTCCCAAAAATAATATTGTAAAGAAAGATCACTTAAATTCCTAATTAGAAGGTTTCACTTGGTATTTCGTATAGGTGGGCTCTTGTGAAAAACGAAGAGGTAGCAAAGAAAATGACTAAATTCATAGAGCTGAATACAATTGGGGTGTCTAAGGACTCACAACTCAGGGCTGCTAAGGTTTTAAGGGCAGTTTCTGATAGCTGGGAACAAGGAAATTCCAACGAGGGTGAGTCATTCTTCAAGTTCAGTCACAAACTCATGGCCAAAAGGTGGAAGCAACTGAGACTAGTGGTGGAGCGTGGTGGATTGTTTAGTTTGCCCAAATTTTCTCCAGCATTCTGCACCTTCTTCAATCAGGTCTTGGAGCCTCAACCAGGTACTTACTGATTTGCCAAATTTGTATACATTCATTTGTTCATTCTTAAGGTGCAGTTGAATTACTTGTTTTTCATATTTAATTTCACATTTTGCTACTTATCATTCATTTACTACTAAAATATCACATTAATAACTATAATATATATATATATATATATATATATATTATGTCACATTATTATATTAAAAATTCATATCGGTAATAAATGTGAAATAAACTATCATATTAGTAATTAATGAACTAAAGAAAGACGGTTAATTAATGGATGGAAAAAAGTATAATTTTAAAAGTTCAATAACAAAATTTGTGAAGTCGTCAATCTTGGGTGATAAAAAGTGTAATTAAACTAATTCTTAAAATAATTATTAGTAAAGTTAACAAGCTTATTATTATTGAGTATTAGACTCCTTTTTATGTGGAGAAAATGTTCAAAAATTGAGAAGTCTAAATTTTGTCTCACTTAAAAATTAAATAGAGAGGGATCTCTTAAGGAATAAGAGAGAGAGTAAATTATACAGCCGTCAGGGAGAGAAAGAGAGTAGAAAATTTGGTTCGCAAACATAAAATAGTTTTAGTAAAATTGTGATCCCTACTTCGTTTACTGTTGGATTGGGCTGGAAATTCGACAACAGGTTCTTAACATGGTGATCTTCGTTTTGACCATTGGGATCGTGGATTGGAGGTCTGTGGTTGGAAAAATCAATTTCCCATAGTTACTCTAATTTAAAGTTTCTTCTTATTTATTCTTCGGTTGAAAGGCCTTGATGCTTTAATATACTGACTGGTTGTAAATATTTGTTTATGCATTTGATTAGACTCTCTTGTACCCTTATTTGATCATATTAGAGCTTGATTGACTGACTTGTGCCCGTGAGTTTTTACTTCTCACATTGAAAGAGTTTTCTCACGTTAAAAATACCTGTGTCTCTTTGTGATTATTTTTTGTCATTTATTTGTTTTGTTGCTCCTCGATAATTTTTGCAAGTTGGGAAATTATTTCTGCTGCGTACTTTGGTACTCTTGATTATTATGTTGTTGTTTCCCCTATAAGAGTGGCATCAGAACTCCTTGGTTTGGGACTATATTTACTTGCTTAAATGATGGAGGCAAATACAACAATGGTTCCTTTGAATGGTACAAATTATCATTTGTGGAAGGGCAAGATGAAAGATTTGTTATTTGTGAAGAAATTGCATCTTCCAGTCTTTTGCTACTCAGAAGCCAGATTCTATGTCTGAAGAAGAATGGGACTTTGAGCACCAACAGGTGTGTGGTTTTATTTGATAATTTGTAGAAGACAATGTTTATAATCACATTGCTAATGAGACACATGCTAGAACTTTATGGGAGAAGATTGAGTCCTTGTATGCTTCTAAATCAGGGAATAATAAATTATTTTTGTTGAATTGTTGCATGAATTTGAGGTACAGGGAGAGTTCTTCCATTTTAGATCACTTGAATAAATTTCAAGGGCTCCTAGATTAGTTATTCGAAATGGGTATCAAATTCAATGATGAAGTTTTGGGATTATGGTTATTAAACACTTTACCAGAGTCTTGAGATACATTTCGGGTTTCTATTACCAACTCGACTCCTAATGGTGTTGTTTCTTTGCAAGCGACAAAGAGTGGTGCTCTTAATGAAGAGATGAGAAGGAAGACACATGATTCTTCATCTTAGTCTGGGATACTTATCATAGAAAATAGGGGGAGAAGTTAGAAAAAAGAACCGAAGGGTGGTAGAGAGAAGAGCAGGAACAAGTTCAAGTCAAGATACAAGAATGTGGAATGCTATTTTTGTAATAAACCTGGGCGTATCCAAGAGAATTGTTTTCTATGAAAAAAGGAGAACAAAGGCAAGAAAGCTAAGCAGAAAGAGAAGGATCATGATGATGATCGTGTCACGACTACTACAAGTAGTAATCTTATTCTTCTTCGTGACTGAGTCTGTTAATCTTGTATCAGATGAGAGCATGTGGATTATTGATAGTGGTGCTACGCTGCACGTTACACCAAGGAAGGAGTTCTTCACATCTTACACTTCTAGTGATTTTGGAGTGTTGAAGATGGATAATAATGGTGTGTCTAAGGTGATTGGTGTTGGTGATTTTTGCCTGCAAACCAACATGGAAATGCAGTTGTTGCTTAAAGGAGTCAAACATGCTCCTGATGTTCATTTTAATTTGATCTCTATGCAGATGCTTGATGATGGTGGTTATGATAACTACTTTGGTTCTGGAAAGTGGAAACTCACCAAAGGTAACTTGGTTGTGGTTAGAGGGGGGAAAAATTCTAAACTATATTGGACTAAAGCTTTGGTTGTTAAGGATAGTGTGAATGTTATGGATATGGAGGCATCTTTGTGGCATCAAAGGCTTGGTCATATCAGTGAAAATGGGCTTAATTGCTTTGCTAAAAAGGATGTGCTTTTGGGATTGAAGAGTGTAGAGTCAGAGAAATATTCCCATTGCATGGCTGGAAAATAAACCAGAGTATCCTTTATGAAAGCATCCTCCTTCAAGGAAGTTAGAATTGCTTGAATTGGTGCATTATAATGTATGTGGTCCATTGAAGGTAAAGTCATTTAGTGGTGCACTTTACTTTGTTACTTTTATTGATGATTGTTCCAGGAAGCTATGGGTCTATGCATTGCAGAGGAAGGACCAAGTGCTTGAAAAGTTCAAAAGAAGCTGAAATGCATCCGTTCTGATAATGGTGGTGAGTACCGTGGACCATTTGATGTCTATTGCAAGCAGCAGGGTATCAGACATGAAAAGACTGTTCCTAAAACTCCTCAATTGAATGGTCTAGTAGAGAGGATGAATAAGACTTTGGTTGAAAGAGTAAGGTGTATGCTTTTTGAAGCAAAGTTGCTTAAGCCCTTTTTGGGAGAGGCATTGCTTGCAATAGTGCATGTTATTAATCTTAGTCCTGCAGTTGCCTTAAATACTGAGGTATCAGACAAATTTTGGTTTGACAAGAATGTTAGTTATGACTACTTGCGTGTCTTCGGTTGCAAGACATTTGTTTATGTTCCAAAAGATGAAAGATCCAAATTGGATACGAAGACAAGGCAATGTATCTTTATTGGTTATGGTCACAATGAATTTGGCTACATGTTATATGATCCTATTGAAAAGAAGCTTGTTAGAAGCTGTGATGTACAGTTCATGGAAGACCAAACCATTGAAGATATTAACAAGGTGGAGAAGACTACACCTAAGAAAGATAATAATTTGACTGATGGTAATCTCATGTGGTTGCCTATTCACAATCTGGATAAAGTTGAAACTGATGCTCAAAATGATGAGGAACATGGTGATGTTGATGATCAACAAATTGGAGATGTATTAGAGGTTCCAATGCTCAAGAGGAACATGATATGGTACATGATGATGATCTTGATAATGCTCATGAATTACCACAAGTCCCTCCTAGGAGATCCAACAAGTTGAGACAACCGTCTTTTAGGTATTCTTCTGATGAGTATGTGACCTTGACTGATGGAGGTGAACTTGAGTGTTTTGAAGAGGCTTTGAAAAGTGAAGAAAAGCAACAGTGGCTGGATGCAATGCAAAATGAGATAAAATCTTTGCATGATAATCACACTTATGACTTGGTAAAGTTGCCTAAAGGCAAAAGGGCCTTAAAGAACAAGTGGATTTTCAGGGTAAAATAATAAAGTAATTCTACATCTCCGAGGTACAAAGCCAGATTAGTGGTGAAAGGTTTAGACAGAGAAAGTGTTGATGTCAATGAGATTTTCTCACTTGTGGTGAAGATGTCATCCATCATAACTATATTAAGTTTAGCTGCTACTCTTGATTTAAAGGTTGAGTAGATGGATGTGAAGATAACTTTCCTTCATGGTAATTTAGAGGAAGAGATTTACATGAAGCAACCCGATGGTTTTCTTGTTGAAGGCAACGAAAACTATGTGTGTAGGTTGAGAAAAAGTCTATATGGTTTGAAGCATGCTCCAAGACAGTGGTACAAGAAGTGAGTCTTTTATGTGTAACCAAGGCTACAAGAAGACTACTTCAGACCATTGTGTAATTGTTAGAAAATTTATTGATGATAACTTCATTATCCTATTGTTGTATGTTGATGACATACTTATTTTTGGAAAAAAATGTTTCCAGGATTGATAGGTTAAAGAAGCAACTGGGCGAGTCATTTGCCTTGAAAAACTTGGGAGCTGCTAAAAAGATTCTTGGTATTAGTATCAAACGTGATACAAAAGAGAAGAAGCTTTGACTATCACAAACATTAAGAAGGTATTGTAGAGATTCCAGATGGAAAATTCTAAAGTAGTAAGCACTCATCTTACAACTCATTTTAAATTAAGTGTTAAGCAAAGTCCTTCAAATGAAGCTCAGAAGACATATATGAGCAGAGTTCCTTATGCATCTGCGGTGGGTAGTTTGATATATGCAATGGTATGTACAAGACTAAATATTACATATGTTGTTGGTACATTCAGTCGATTCTTATCAAATTTAGGTAGAGAGCATTGGAATGTTGTGAAATGGATTTTGAGGTATCTTCATGGTACTAGTAGTTTAAGGCTTTGTTTTGGAAGGGATAAGCCTACCTTGGTGGGTTACTCAGACTCAGATATGGCTGGAGATGTTGATTCCAGAAAGTCCACTTTGGGTTATTTGATTAAGTTTGTAAGGGGAGCTGTAGCTTGGCAATCAAGGGTACAGAGGTGTGTAGCATTATCTATTACAGAGGTAGAGTTCATTGTTATTACTGAAACATGTAAGGAGTTGCTACGGTTGAAGAAATTCTTATAGGAGTTTGGTTTTGTGCAAGACAAATATCCTTTATTTGTTGATAGTCAGAGTTCTATCTATCTTGGTAAGAATCTAACTTTCCATTCTAGGTCCAAACATATTGATGTAAGGAATCATTGGATACGTGATGCTTTGGATGCTAAGCTGTTGGAGTTGGCTAAAATTCATATTGATGATAATGGTGCTGATATGACGACTAAAGCATTGTCAAAAGAAAAATTTGAAGTTTGTTGTAAGATTGCTGGTTTGGCGGTTATCTCCACATAGTTGTGAGGGGAAGATTTGTTGGGTATTGGACTCCCTTCCTATGTGGAGAAAAGACCCAAAAATTGAGAAGCTCAAATTTTGTCTCTCTTAAAAATCAAGTGGAGAGGGGTCTCTTAAGGAATAAGAGAGAGTAAATTACACGGCCTTCAAGGAGAGAAAGAAGAGAGAAAGAGAGCAGAAAATTTGGTTCGCATACACAAAACATTTTTAGTAAAATTGCGATCCCCACTTCGTTTACCATTGGATCGGTGGAAATTTTACAACAGGTTTTTAACACGGTGATCTTCGTTTTGACCATTGGGATCATGGATTGGAGGTCTGTGGTTGGAGAAATCAATTTCGCACAGATACTCTAATTTGATGTTTCTTCTTCTTTATTTTTCGGTTAGAAGGCCTTGATGCTTTAATATATTGGTTAGTTGTAAGCATTTGTTTATGCATTTAATTAGACTCTCTTGTACCCTTATTTGATCATATTGGAGCTTGATTGACTGGTTTGTGTCCGTGGATTTTTACTTCTTACATTAAGAGAGTTTTTTCACGTTAAAAATATCTGTGTCTCTTTGTGATTATTTTCTGTCATTTATTTATTTTGTTGCTCCTCGTTAATTTTTGCAAGTTGAGAAATTATTTTCGCTATGTATTTTAGTACTCTTGATTACTATGTTGTTGTTTCCCTATAAGAATTATACTTGTTAAGCTTTTAACTAAATTCAATTTGAATAAACTCTTCTGTTATTCTATTTGTTTGTGAACATATTTGACAGCTTTTGTGTGGTTAAAGTGTGAGGGAAACGTGGAAGACTGCGAAAGCTTCCTTAGAGGACACAACATCTTAACGAGAAGTGGGATTCACTTTGGGGTTAGCCCAAAATACGTAAGAATCAGTATGTTGGACACTGATGAAAACTTTAACCACTTTCTAGATAGACTCTCTGGCATACAGTCATGATAGTTGGAGTTTGGTGTTGGTTAATGTATGTTTGTATAATTAGAAGTTTAGAAGTGTTAGTTTTCTGTGTGGTGGAGAGTGAAACACAGCAATGCAATTTTGTTCATCATAAGATATATGGCTCTTACGAATCCAATTATAAGAAAGAAAAGAAAATTAACCATATTGCGCGTGACGATTAAATTAAACTTGTCAATTTTGTACACCAAAAAAATATAAGTACACCCAAAAAGTAAACTAGTCAATTTATAATCTGAGTAGTTAAACCAAATTGTTATTTAAGATTTGTTTTTGGTAAACTTTCTTATAAGTATTTTTAGGAGAATAAATTTTTTTTTTTATAAGTTGAAATTAATTTATAATGAGTTAATTTGTAAAAATCTTCTTCTATTAATTTCTCCAAAATCTTATAAAAAAAAATTATTTCAATTTTTCTTCCTATTTTTCTCTTCTAGAAATGTTAATAAAGAAATTTATTCAAATAAACTCTTAATTTTCATACATTAAATAATTAGGTGGCAAAATAAATCAAAGTAGGTCTTGTTGAATATTAGTTTGGCCCACTTTATAATATTGCACTTTGAACTTGACAGCTGAGTATGTTACAATTTTTTTAGGTTTAGTCTACATGAATATAAACTTGACTTAGTATATCTTTAAATAAATTTTTTTAATGAGTATTTATAGAAGAAAAAAAAGTAGATGCAAATTTATTTGGCTGTTTTGAAGAATTCTTGCCATAACACAACCAAAAATTCTTAAATGCTCATAAGTTGATGGTTTGCTATATAGCATCTCCCATAGAGTGATGCCATTGTTTGCAATAGTGGACCCTATTTATAAGATGAGTACCTTCCAGTACACACACTCTCCGACTTATTGGAAAAATTGATGTACTTGTTTTCTCTCTAAACACACATTTTGTTGGAGTGTTGTAAGAATGGAAATAAATTAAGTAAGACTTTAAATATATAATTAAAGTCTAAACTTAATTTATTATCTATTATTAATTTTTTATAAGTTTAATTTAGTTTTTTTAAAGATTGATATGACTTATTAACTTATTTATATTAAAATATTAATTAGGTAAATAAACTTAATTTTTAAAAATTAATAAATTTATTTTAAAATATAGTTTACTTAATATTGTTAAAATTTTAATTTTAAAAAAACATAAGGAAAAAGTGAATCAATTTAGACATAGTTATATATATGTTAATGTACGTTATCATAAGCTTATAAATTTATAATAAAAAATAATTGTATAAAAAAATATCTTAAATATTAATATTTTATTTTTATATTATATATTTATTTGTTTATTTATATTTTTAATAATATATATATATATATGTAATGAAAATCCAGAATTACTAATTAATAAATAAATAAATAACATATATATATATATATATATATTTGTATATATATATTTATAATAATATATACATATATATATATATATATATATATATTAATTTTTTATTATATTGATCTAACGTATTTTTTTATAAACATAAACCTAACCTTTTCTATACAAAAGTTTATATAAATATACTTTTTAAAAATCTAAACTTTGATTTTTTTTATTATACTACGAATTTCACCTCAATGTATAAGGTGAACAGGTAATAAGATTAAAACAAAACTTATATTATTTGGATTGATAACATATATCACAATTTCTGTTCTTATTTAAATCGAAATTACATTTAAGTAAATAAGAAAATTTCTGAAGAGCTTCACTTGAGGTCTATCCTAGAGTGTCAGAGGTGTGTCTTGTCCTGTTGTACCGCAAGCATTGATCTTTTGAGCATGTAAACTCCTTCATGCAAAACACTTGATCCAATCGTTCTCTTACATAACACAATTGATTTTTATAATGCATCAATGTATAATTTGAGTCGTGTCAATCTATGTGAAAAATTAAATTGTAACTAAATTGCGGTACTCCCTCCATTTTTTTTTCATAGTCGTTTTGTCAGAGTTTGTTGTTTTTTTTCATTGTCATATTACTAAAATGAATGAGTTATTAATTTTTTCTTCCATTTTTACCCTTGATAATTAATACATGTTTCCTGAACAATGTGTGTATTTATTTTTAATGTCTACCTAATTTTTCTCCAACTACTCATATAAAGTTAATGTGCATTTATAAGAGCAATATGTTTCCAACAAAATATTATAAAAAAATAAAAAAAAAGGGACAACTATTTAATGGAGTAGTTCAACAGTTTAAAAAATGCAAAAAAAAATAAAGGGTAAAATAGGAAAATAAATACTAAATATTTTTAAAAACTAAAATATCAATGATTTCCTTAAATCTCGTGCAAAACCTTAAACGACTATAAAAAAAAACGGAAAGAGTATCTATATCATGCAAACTCCGAGAAAACAAAGGGATCATATGTTGTGAAGCTTCATTGTTTAAGACCCATTATCCTCCTTGTGAAGAACCTAAGATAAAAGGTTGAGTTTGACGAGGTTTTTTCATCGTCCCAACTTCTCTGATGTGGGATCAACTCGCTTTGATGTTATAATAGAATCTCTATATGTATATTGATTTTCTTTATTGGTCGCAAAACTGTACGTTGTCTCTAACATATAGGCAACTAATAAATACAAATCGAATAAAATAACAAACTAAAACCGACTAGATTTTATCTTTTATGCAACAGAAAAATAAAAATTCAAATAATTTATTTATTTTACCAAGGAATTTTTTATCTCTTATTTTGTCACCAAATTTTTATTTTCGTTACTTTATTAAATATCTTCATCTCTCTCATAAAAATTTAATAATAATTAAAAAAGTAGCATTGATAACTTATTATTTATTTTATAAACCTGATAAAATTAGCTAACATAACTATTTTATTTATATTAAACAATGTGAATCAATTAAAAGTATCTTGTAACAAAAGTATGAGAATATATAATAAATTTTTAAATAAATAGAAAAGAAAAATAATACACTAGTAAATATTTAATTCTAGTCATATTGGGTCATTGGGTGTAAACAAGTACCTTTTACCTATAAATCCAAACTGATTGAGATTATCCAATGAATTCGGTTGGAATCTTTTGAGAGTACATGTCATAAGTTTTAAATGAAGTGGACACTGAATAAACTATTTATCAAGACATTACGAGTGATGTTCTCACCCTGTGCGAAAAGGTTTCTGTTGTGATGTTTTATGCAACAGCCCGATTTTTACATATTGTTGGAGGGTTCAAAGGTCTAATAGAGGTGATTTAGTAGTCTAGAACGGGCCATTCTCAAATCGGAACGAGTCATTTCAAAAGACTAAAACGAGAGTGATTTTGTATCCCAGAACGGGCCGTTTTCAAACTGGAACGGGCCGTTCTAAAATACAAAAATTGTCTACAAATTTTAGATGGGAACGGGGCATTCCCAAATTGGAACGGGGCGTTCTCATATTGAGAACATGCCGTTCCAAAATATGACCGTTGTGAGTATTAAATGCACCCCAGAACGGACCGTTCTGGTTTGAGAATGGGCCGTTCTAGATGTGATTTTTAGTTGTGAGTTAAGGGTCCAGAACGGGCCGTTCTGGATTTGGAACGGGATGTTCCGGTGAAGCCTGATGCCTATAAATAGAGCGCTCTGCCACTCCCAAAAAGCACACCTCTCATTTTCTGATTTCTTTTCTGCTGCTTTCTCTTCTTTCCCTCTACTTTTTGCTTCAGACCGAGAGGAACCCAGCGAGGGAGACCAACCAGATCTTCATTAATTGAATTAGAAAATATTTGGTAAAGTAAAAGAAAATTAAATTCTTTTTGACAGAAAAAAGAAAATTAAATACGTAGCTGTAAGTACTTTTCATATACTTAAAGAATTATATTAGTATGTCAATGTAAATATAGTAATATTTTTAAAATATGAATATAAAGCTAAAAAGCATATACAGATAAAACAAAATGAATCATATAATTATTAAATTTTAAATACGAGTTTCACTATTATATTTTATAAAATTATAAATATATGCTTAACTTTTTTTAACAAAAAAAAATATATGTTTAGCTCTTGCAACTAAATATTGTTTTTCTTTTTCATTTATTATGTTATAAGTGTGAAGTATTTAACGATTTATTAATAATTATTTTTTAATGGAGAACTTAATTAATTGACTTCCTATAGTTAATGAGAACTCTTTTCTCAACTTTTTTTTTCATCTATAAAATTTAAATTCAAAACTTTATTTAATAAATTTAAGTTTAATTTTACTCAGACTAATAATTATATATATATATAGAGAGAGAGAGAGAAGAGGGGTCCTTTTACTCCATGAGTAAGTTTACCTAGACTTACTCCGTTCAATAACTAATGTTTTACATCAAATTTTAACGATCCAATCGTTCAATTTAAAGTTCTTAATGCATAAATCAAATCTACAAATTTTTAAAAAATTTGAAAATCATTTGATACTTCATTTCATTAATTTGAATCAATGTATAAAATGATTTTATGATCCTAAATCTCAATCTTCCCAACACACACAAAAGATAAACAAGAGAAAAGTTAATCTCATTTATTTCTATATATGCTTTGCATATAAGATATTTTTATATTAAATAATATTTTTAATGGTATATTATATGAGTTGTTTAAATAAATATTTAATTATATTCTTTTTTAACTCTATATAAATAAATATTTCAGTTATATATATATATAAGGAGATATCTTTTTACTCTGAGAGTAAGTCTACCTAGACTTACTCCGTTAAATAATTCATTCTACATCAAATTTTAACGATTCAACCATTCAATTTAAAGTTCTTAATGCATAGATTATATCTGTAAATTTTTAAATAATTTGTAAATCATTTGATACTTCATTTTATCAATTCAAATTGACGGATAATCATAAAATAATATTATACATTGATTCGAATTAATAAAAAGAAGTATCAAATGATTTTCAAATTTTATAAAAATTTGCAGATTTGATCTATGCATTAAAAACTTTAAATTGAACGATTAGATCATTAAAATTTAATGTAGAACATGAGTTATTGAACGGAGTAAGTCTAGGTAGACTTACTCCTGGAGTAAAAGGATCCTTCCTTTATATATATATATATATATACACACATTGAAGTAATATTTTTTAGTTGGGTAAA